AGTCCTGTATCATAATCATTAATTATAAACTCGCCGCAGCATAGTTTACAAAAATTGTGCAATGTAACTTATCCATACAAATGCTTTAAAATAAAATAAAATAAAAAAGTTACTCTGTATTCATATAAGATATGTATTATTATTATTATTATTTTTAGCACTGTCCATATAAAATATGCATCATCTGACTAAATATATATAATTTAAATGTATATACATATATTTTTTGAAAGATAAAAAAATATCACATGAATATGCACAAGTACATCACACTACAATAACCAAAACGATCAACATTTTTTGAATTTTGGATGAAAAAATGAATATGATTTATTAATATTTTCATATGTCAACCACATGTACATTATTAGGGCAAGTTCAGAGTCGAGAACAAGAATTGAGAGGGCAAGTTCAGCTAAAATGATTTGCCCTAAAAATATTTTGTTTTTTGGTTTACTAATAATATAATCAAATATATTATATTATTATTAGAGTTACTAATAATATAATCAAATATATCATTTATATTTAATTTATTTTTAATGAGGCAAATAAGCTAAACAAAATACAAACACTCACAAAAAAAAAAAAAAAAAAAAAAAAAAAAACGGTTGTTGAAAATTGATAGTTGGAAATGGTAGGTGAAAAAGAATGGTTATTGTGTAAAAAAAATAGCATTTTGGATGAAATGCACTATTGGAGCAAAATTGCTTAAATATAATATTTTGACACTGTAGTTCCTCTCAAAATATAGATTTAGCATGCAAAAATAGCATTTTGCATTGGAGATGGTCTAATACCTAATCCTATTCCTATTATGACTACCAAATAAAAGAAATAATAACTATCTTTATATTATACATATATTATAATATAATATAATATAATATATATATATATATATATATATATATATATATATATATATATATATACCTTCCATAAATAATCATTAGTTAATTAAATCATATATATTTATATATATAAATATATATATTTTCATAACACTTATTAATTAATTATATATATATATATATATGTATTTAATTTTATATATATATTATAATTATACAAAAATGATCATTTAAATAATCTCATAAATATGAGCCTTAATTAATCCAACAAGGCTTCATTCAAATACAATACCATACCCTTTGGTCTAACCTCCTTAAGTCTAATCCAATTAATTTAAATAAATAAAATAATTAAATAAATACTTAATTTAAAATAATTAATTACACGAAGCACATAAACAAAACAAGAATCTATAACTAAGTCACACCATACCAATAAAATCGACACGCCACCAATTCAATCAATAATTAAGAACACACACAAACAATCATCATATATAATCATGAAATATAATTTAATTAAAAATATGACAATTAATTTAAGCACTCAATTAAAAAAAACAAATCAATTAAAAATAAAATAAAAGCAATTAATTCCCATTTAAATCAAACAAATTATTTTAAATAAAAATAAAAAATAAATAAATTTCAATAAATAATTTCTTTAAAATATAGGGGTATTACAATAATAATAGTATAGGTAGTAGGAAATACTCGTATTAAAAAAAAATCTAATTAGAAAAGGAAATATATAATATTAAAAAATTTAATTGGAGAAGGAAATACATGAATATTTAATTAATTAATAATAATATAGGTAGTAGGAAATATTGAAAATCAATGAAAAGAAAATCTAATTAGAGAAGGAAATATATAATATTAAAAAATCTAATTAGAGGAGGAAACACATTATTGAATTTCAGTACATTAATATATAATATTAAAAAATTTATTTAATTCAATTAAAATAAATCTAATTAGAGAATTAAATATATAATATTAAAAAACTTATATCATTCTCCTACTAAATACTAGAATTATTTTATAAATTTAGTTAGAGTAATATTTAAAAATTTTGAATTTTAATATTTATCTAAAATTACTATTCATATCACAGTTAAGAATTATTTAAATAAGAAATTATAACCCCTTAAACTTTAATATTTACTCTTAGAATTTGTTTGTTATAAATGAATGTGCAAAAGACAAAATATTTGGCTTTATAAATATTTTAAATTTTAATTACTCGAAAAAAGTACTAATTAATTATTTATAAAAGAAAATTTATTTTGATATTTCAGTATAATTATTTTAATTAAAATTATATAATAACTTTTTACCTGTATATAAATAGTATTCATAAACGTTCCAAAATAATAAATGAGTCAATAAGTTTTCTCTCTGGCTCGCAGTGCAAAAGAGGTTACCCACACTTAATAGAAGCAGCATGAGGTCCTTCGCAGGCCAAGAACTTGTCACCTATACAACTTGGTTGACGAATCCCACAACCATCACCAATTTGGATTGCTCTGTAGCAGAAATGTCGATTTCATACACCCCTTCATCTTGGGCTGTGTTTATTAAATGGGCAACAACACGATGGTCAAATAGGGACTTGCGATCCTCGGTAAACAAGCTCACGCTTTCCACCGCCATCAATAGGATCTGGATGGAGTGCAATAACAGACGCTTCAACAACAAAAAATCCACACAAAACATGGTTTATAGGCAAATCAATGACATAGTCAAATCGAAGTTGCTTACCGTAATAGTCAAAGAGTCATCACTCGTAAGACGGCTGAAACTGGACTGGGATTAGCGGTCTTTCATTAGGCCACCACCGGAGCCACTGGATCACGCCAACTAGGGTTCTCAACCCTATTTTTGTTCTTACTGGATGATTGTATCATTTAGACATGCATAGTCTAGGGTTTGCTGGACTAGAAATGTCTCAATGTAGCTGCTGGGCTGGGTCTGTATATGGCTTATTACCTTGTTCCTTGGGCTGCGCTGTTTGTCTTTTCACGATGGATTGGGCTGTCCACGTTTTGTGGGGCCTCCCTTCATGTATTGTATTTATTTAAAGGGTTAATTACAACATCACCCCTAAAGTTTGGGGTATTGATAGAAATATATAAGTTAGTCATTTTTTGAACACTCACACCCCTTGTCAAAAATTTAATCCAAACAAGTCCTTAAAAGTTGTGAAAAGACGAGATTGCCCTTCAATAAAATATCAATTATTAATTTGAAATATCAAAAATATATATATGACAGAATTACCCTAGGTTACTCTCTCTACCCTCTACTCCAAAAAAACCCAAACTCGATGATCGGTGCCTCGCCTCCCACGCTGCAGTTCCGATATCCTCGCCGCCACCGCTGTAGCTCCAAGCTCTGCGTTGAGGACTGACGATGATGCCGTCGAGCCGTTACAAGAATCGTGAATCGTGAACCAGAAAATCGTCGCCGAAATCGCGACTAATTCCTTATTGCAGGCTCGGATTCTGATTCCTCATTGCCGGCTCCAAGAAGCGGTGGAGCTAAGTTTGCAAAGAATAAAAAGAATGAGATCATTCGGCAACGAATCAAACAAATCATAGTCTCCGGCGGTCTTCAAACGTTTCCAGAAATTCCTCTGTTGTTGTTCTCCGGCTAAAACTCTCCTCTTGATGACTTCTCTCTTGTCCAAACACATGTCCACTCTCGGATAACAAGTCTCTCTCCTTGTTCTCATCTCTTTATAGATAAGCTAGAGAGAGAGAGCACCGTGTGATCCTTGTATATAAAAGAGCAAGATTGAACAATAGGCTTTATATCAAACAGACCAACCAAAACAACACAGCCCAAATCTAAATAAATAACCCAGGGATGGAGTACTTATTACCAAAATAGCCTCCCAAATCGGTCAAACGGCGCTGACCAGATCCTTCCATCCGTCGTCTTTGATTACTTTCTTTCTCCACTACAAAATGCCTCTCCTTTGTCGCTCTCATCTCCAAGACTGAAGACTATATATATATATATATATATATATATATATATATATATTATATCTAGAGAAAGAAAGAGAGAGCGCCATCATAATCTTAGATTTATTTATGTTGATGGGGCATAAACACTTCTCTGGAATCGCAACTGATTCCTCATCGCCGGCTCGGATTCTGATTTGCCCAACAATGGCTTCTGGCCAACAAAAACTCCAGCATACTCTCCGACAACATCCTTTGCCCGAACCCGCACCGTCATCTATTTTTAGCAAACGGGAGACTTGGCGGGATGAAGCGACAACTGAAAACAGCGACTGTGATGGATTCGGCGAGGACGAGCTGGTAGAGATTGCAGTGGTGGGTAAAGAGAAATTACAATTTACAATTTCATGGGTTTAATTGATTTAATTGATTCAAGGTTGATTTAAACACAAAAGTTGTTACAAATTAATTGATTTAATTGATTCAAATGTGGTTCAATTTCATGGGGGGTTCAATTGATTCAAGGTTGATTTAAACACAAAAGTTGTTACAAATTACAATTTCATGGGTTCAATTGATGGGTTTTGGTTGTGGTGGCAGAGATTGCAGTGGTGGGTAGAGAGAGAAAGGAGGGGTGGGTAGTATTGGTGGTAGCGGTGATATGATCGGGTTCAATGGCTGCCTCTGCCCTATAGATACAAGTGTGTAATTTTGAATTGTTGGGTTTGTGTGATGGTGGTGGAAAGAAGACGGCGGTTATGGAGGTTACTGTTGTGGTGACTGGTGAGTGGTGGTTGTGTATATTGGTTAAGGCTATTTTGGTCATTTTACGTGGTCAAAGGGTAAACATGTATTTTTATTATATTTGGGGTGTCATTGTTTAAATTTGTCGATTTAAAGGGGTCTTCTTGTCTAAAAAAGGATTAACTTATATATGTTTGTTAATACGATAAACCTCAAGGAGTGTTGTTATAATTAACCCTTATTTAAAAGAAGCTTACAAAAAAAAAAAAAAAAAAAAATCTAACCACAATAATATATGCAAACGATTGGAGCCACTAATATTTTCGCGTCACAGATGTATCTAAAATCTAAATATACGTGTATGTCTTTATATCTGTATATACATACATTACTAATATGACTGAGTATCTCTGATCTATATCTGTATAGCAAATACAGACATACATTGGAGTACATAGTGATTCGGACAGAGACAGAGACAGCACCTAAAATTGAGACGATTCACCTACACTAACCACCCTTTCACATGAGCTCCATTGGATTTGGAGCTCGCATTAAAAATGGCCGCCACACCAACCACTCACAACCTGCTCTTCTTCACCAGCTACAGCTTGTTCAGGTCATCATGGCCTTGTTCTTCTCAGAAGATTAGTCCTCGGAAGAGCAGGGTCCCAATCTCGGTGGAACTCTCTTACTCCTACTCCTATTCAAGATTCAATTGCTCCACCAAATCAACGGACGAGAGCGAGCCGGAAACATTGACCGCCGATAGTGATGATGAAGCGTCCATCAAGGACGACCCTCAGCTTTCAACTCCAATAGATTCGCAGCAGAGGATCGCAACCTCTTCCGGTGAATCTCTTTCCCTTGGAATTCGAGAGCCAGTTTACGAGGTAGATCATTTAACTAACTTTGAACTTTTATTTATTTATTTATTTATTTTTGTATGAATAATGATTTTTAAATTATTATTTCTGTATAGGTGGTTGAAGTGAAGTCGAATGGGATGGTTTCTACTAGAAAAATAAACAGACGGCAGCTCTTGAAGTCAAGTGGTGAGTCAAATATATATATATATATATATATATATAAAGAGAGAGTATAATTCCACACCCATACCCATACATATTTGGAAAATTGCATCTTGATGGTTTTCTTAGAAGTCTGTGCACTCACCATGAAATGTAGCATCTGTGTTATGAATTAAGTTCTTTGTGATTGTTTCAATTTTTGCAAGGAATTTTAGGAACCATTATAAATTAAAGTTATCTATCTCTGTCTCTGTCTATTGTTTTCAACATCAGGTCTTCGTCCTCGAGATATCCGGAGCGTTGATCCATCATTGTGGTTGATAAATTCGATGCCTTGTTTGCTGGTATTGCATCAATTTGTGCTCTGTTGTTGTTTATGCTGCGTGCTTGTGTTTGTTTATTGGTTAGATGAATTTACGTAATCTGATTCATTATATTGGAGCTTTTTGTACTCTTGCCCTTGGTATTACTCCCATAGATACTTTGAAAACCTTCCTGATGAGGCTCAAGAGCTAATTCTATTATTGAAATTTATCATGTGATTTTGTTTTTCTTTTCTAGTACATTCCATATTATAATTGTTTCTTTTTCTTTGATATGGAAGCATTCACGAGGTATAAAAAAGTACAAGTTTGTATTGTTTGCATTTCTCTATTATAGATTCATTGCACAAAAGACTTCAACAAGTACATGCTTTAGTGATGTAAGTTCTAAAATTCATCAAATTGTTAATGAAGGCCAGACTACTTCATTTATACTCAGAAAATGTTGCAATCTTATTCTAGTTGATCACTGTTGTCTGGTTTCTGAAGTATGTCATGGTAATTAAGTCAATAATCCTTGATGTCACTCCTATGAACTGGCCTTCAGTATGTAACTGTGTAGTTGGCCTTCACATTCGATGATATGTTAGGAGATAGAGTGTTTTTTTTAAACTAAAATTGGATAGTATGAATGTTTAAGACTTAAAATAAAAGTGTTAGGGTCGTATGAAGATGGTTGAGTGTGATTAGAGAAGTATAGTTTCGGGTTGCTGCTACAACATAATTTGATTTATGTAGTTGATAATTATTTACTAATTACAAAAATTCTACTTTAGTTGATATCAGCACCATCATACTTGGATTTTCTGGTCAAAATTCATGTTTTAAATGTTTAGTTTTTTGATTCCTCTCCTAGGTCCGTGAGCATGCTATTCTATTGAATTTGGGGTCATTACGGGCAATAGCAATGCAAGAGCGTGTTCTTATATTTAACTATAACCGGTAATATTTGCTTACTTGAACAGTGCAAAATATCCAATATTTGGTATTTATTTTATGTTTTTGGATGGTTTTACATAATTTCCAACAGAACTAACAATGCTGAACTAGTTGCATTGTACATTTGTAGTAAAGCAGGAAAAGCTTTTATAGATGCGTTGTTACCTCGCTTGAACCCTAAAAACATGAATGGAGTGCCATCGATGCCATTCGAACTTGAGGTTAGTCTGTTACTATAAATATATGCAACATGCTGGGATATTATTGATGTTTTGATGCTTAGTTTTTCCATTTATTATGTTCGAAGCTGTTATTTCTGGTATTAAAGGATAGTTTTTACTTTAAATTTGATTTTGGTAATGGTTAGCATATATATTTGAACCTAGTGTTCTTCAATTCCATGTGACTCATTAAAATTTGACAGACATCTGGACGGAATCTGACACCAAGATGTTTCTCTGGAGCAACATATTCTGTGTAAATAATTCTTACTTTAAGGGGAAAAAAATTTACCATAACGGAACTTCTATTCTGTATGTGCAGAAAACACTTTATCCAGCAAGGCACACAGAGAGAACAGCTTCATTCTTTCTGCCCTCCGAGCCTTGAAAACATGAAATTGCTCTCTGGACTCTACCGTGTCCTGCTCTTACCCTTTTTGTTTTATCGTGTTCTTTTAGTTGGCCAGAAAGCTTACAGAAAAATATCATCTATCTTCTCTGGTGAAAAAAGCCTGATTGGGACTTGATCCCGTGACCTCCAAGGTTTTTCTTTTCATTGAGAGCCTTGGGAACTACCTTGTGGGGAGTAGGGACTAGGGAGATAAAGGTATACAACACATTTTGGAAGCAACTTTAATGGAAAAAGAAAAGAAAACATATATTAATTTACAAATGCCTCGTGATTTTGCTTCATCTGGGGATGAATTGCTTGATTTTTTGATTCCCCTCTGAACACTTTTCTAATAAAATTTTATTTGTCAAAAAAAAAAAAAAAAAAAAAATGAATAAAAGAAATAAAAGGTCTAGCAATGCACTCAAGTTTTCCTTTAAATGCTCTAAAATTATTTAGATGCTTGGTGTATTTTTCTGAAGGCATAGGGACTTTTAGTAGACCTTTGAGGCTAAAAATGGTTAGGGTGATAATGTTTAAAATCTTTTTGGGAATGGTCTTTTCGCATAGTTTGAGCAATCAAATCTCAAGTTTGATTTATTGAACTTAGTAAAGTACAATCGATCGAATTTGCCTGTTCTAGTGTATAAAAAGTAAATGCATTTAAAAAAATATTTTTAAGAATTAAAACATGCAAATATAAGATTCTAGTATGTTTAATGATGTCAATGCCTGATTATGAACCCTAATTTGGTTAGTGCAAAAATTTAAGAATTGAATTAATCTTCTTCTTCTTCTCTCTCTCTTTTTTTTTTTTTTTTCATCGATGCATTTTGGAATTTCCAATTTGCCGTTAGATAGAGCTAATTCTTCTAACTAACGAAATTCAGCTAATTAAACTAACTTTTCAAAAGCATAAACAAAATTAAGAATAAAAAATCAAAACTGCATGTTGTACGAAATTTGCCAACGAAGTCCTGTTGACCTAACAAACCTATGAGTTCATCGAAAGTAAAAATCACTGTCTTTAGAGAAAATGATCCAATGTGTGACGTCATTCCCCATATTGTCACCCAAATGCGCCAACTTCCAATATAGTATAAAGTGCACAAAAGTCTTTGTAGGGTCGCTTGACACAAACAGGTACCTTCTGGTCTAAGACCAAGACACAATCTTAATTTGCTTAATAGTTTCGTTACTGTAATCCTGTCAACAACTCGATGATAATTAATATTCAGCACTCTGATACATAACATAGTTTCACAATCAAATACATACCAATCTGCAGATAATGCATATTAATCCAAGGCTAACCATTCTCATTTCATTGCTTAGGTATTGAAAGAACCATACCATAAAAATATTTAGTACTTAAATTTATCATAAATATAGCATTCTTTGGTGACTCGATGCTAGAATGTGGGGGTCAAGCAATTGAGTTCAGTGGTTGACTCAAACTTGTTTATAAACCATCTAAACTCAGTAACAAGTTGACAACTAGGAAGCACAGATACAGGTAAGACGATTTGACAACTCTAAAGAAAAATATCCACATTTTTTTTTGATAAGTAAGATTTCATTAAAGGCGCTCAAGAGGGAGCGCTCCCAAAAGAACACAAAAGGCACCCAAGGCGAAACTATAATTTCAAGCTATCCACGAAGTCCAAAAGATGCCCCAAGGATTTACAATTCCTCCCATTAACCCAAAAAATAAAGTAGACAGTATATTGTATTTGACTCCTCTCCATCAAAGGATCACCTATTCCTCTCGCGCCACAAACCTTACTATAAACAAAGGGGAGTGGCCCTCCAGTCATCTTTGGCTCGGCTCTCCACTATACACCACTGTAAGGCTCTAACTAGTCCATCGTGGATGCGGGAGACACCTAAAACTTCATGATATTCAAGGGAGCTTGTGGACCGACCGCTGAAAATTTCCCCAAAACCTTGGCTGAACATTTAACTCCATATGCTACAGCTGCATCATGGCAGACCATGAGTGAGTGAGGAACAAAGAAATCCACGCGTGATGAAGAGAGTAATCGGCCAATAATAGAATTGCCTAAAACCGTTCTTGTAAAGTTTAGTAATATAAGTTCGGTTGTTGCTCTCATGCGCTCGTTTTTGGAGGTTGCTAGATTGCCTCGCTTGTTCCAAGGTGGATCTGCTAGATCTGTAAATCCTTATCGTGGCCCATCGATATTTTTGGATGATGATTCGGTTCAAAGAAGAAGAGATGATCTTCGGTCGTGTCTGGTTGGGAAATTTGATAAGGAAGTGGGTGATGGGGCTCATATCGCAGCTTGGGCCTCGTGTACTTGGAAGGTATCCTCAGGTGTAACGGTTTCGACTCTGCCGGATTCCTTACTGCTTTTCCGTTTCCCCTCCTCGACCGAAGCCTCTCGTGTTCTCAAAGGGGGTTGCCGTGACCGGGGAACGGCATCTCTGTGTTTGGAGGCTTGGAGCTTTCGGGTAGGGTGCTCGGATGAGTTGAAAGAGAAGGGGCTGAAGAAGGTATCGCTGTACGGTCTTCCTCTCCACCTTTGGAGTCATGCTCTGTTCGTGGCAGTCGGCGATCTTTGTGGTAGGTTTATTTGGGTGGATGCTGATGAAGCTTTGGATGCTGAACGAGTTCGCATCACCGTCTCTGATGGTCGAAGTTGCCCTCTGTCTGTATTCATTCACGATGAACAGTTTTGCTATAAAGTGTTTATTTGGGAGGAGAAGCCTCCCGAGCTTGTCCCCATGACTGAGAGCTTGGAGGGCGGTGATGGTTCGCACTTGCTCAAGGAGAAAGAATGGTTACGGTGGGAATCCATGGGGAAAAAAGGAATGGCTGCATTTCAGAGGTGGGAAGAATGGAGAGATGCGCTATGGATACGTAATTCCGAATGCTTTAAACGGATTTTCAATCAGAAGCAGAACCGGAAGGAAGGGCTCCCTGCCTTTCAGAATTGCCGACGATAAGAAGGGTTTCGAACGTTGCAGAGGGGAGGAGGTCTTGCCGGTAATGGTCGTCGGCCTTTTGTGCAGCAACGGGATCAATCAAGACGACGCGGTGTTCTTCACGCCTTTTAGGCGCGTGGGAAGGGGTGGTTTCCTGATCGTCCACGTGGTTGGCGCTCAGGCCCTATACGTTCCCAGTGGAGAACAGCTGTTCCCACGATCATTTCAAATTCTAACTCTGCTGGGCTGAATGGTGGGCTTGGTTCCAGGGCTATTGTTTCTTCAAATGTTTTGCCTAAGCTTGCTGGACTCCTTATTGGGCCTAAAAGACCTCCTTCAGTTTATAAGAGGCCTATTTCTGGTATTGTGGATGGCGGGCCGTGTCCCATTTACTCTAAAGAATTGTCTGTTGGTGGACAGTGTACCCAATCTTTTAAAGAAGCTACTGTTGGTGGGCCGAGCGTCCATTCTCCTAAAGTTTTTTCTGTTAGTGGGCCGAGCGTCCACTATTCTAATGAAACTTATGTTGATGAGCATTTGGGGGTTAAGGTTGGACAGAACTGTGGATCTGGGTTGGGGTCTAATAGTTTCGAGCCCTTGTCTTCATTAGGAGATGTCTCAGGAGATGCTTTGGCTCCTTGTGCAACTGGTTCGATGAGAGCGAGAATCAAGGGAGATCGGAGAGTGAAGGAGCAGGTGCTAAGACATCGTTTGCCTAAGAAAAAGGTTATCCTTCCTGCTCTTCGCAAAAAGTGGTCTCAAAAGGAAAAGCAAAAATGGGTGGCGTCTTCGCAGATGGGTTTTGACTCCGGTATGTTTTCAGTTCCTTCAGGTTCTCCCTCTCCTAAGATGTGCTCTTCTTCCACTTCTTCTCCTTTCTTGGGGGGATCGACCACTTCTTTGGGACGGGTGTTGGGTGGTTCTACTAATGTTTCTCACCCTTTAGCTTCGGTGGGTGAGAGGGAATCTGTTTTGACCGACAGGCCGGATGGTGTTGCTGGGAATCGACTTGGCTTTTCTCGGAGATGTGATGGCTTGTGTGAGGGTGTTACAGTTTGTGTAGGACGGGATGTTAAGTTGAAACTTGATGATGATACGGCCTCAATTCTGCTGAAGGAGTTACGAAACCATTTGGCTTCGAAAGGTTTTTTCTGTGATTCAGGAGGAGTTTTGACTGAGGAGAAGCCTGTTTCGCAGTTTTGTTCGCATTTTTCTTCTGTTCTTGATGATTGGGAGGAAGCTGCAGGTTCTTCTTTTGATGGGGATTCGGGCATGATTCCATGGGAAGACTTGGAACAAGCAGTGAATTTGGCTGTGCCTTTGGCTGTTGTCCCCCCCGGAGGGAATTGGACCAGTGCCTCGACAAATGTTGGGGTGAATGACACTGAGGAGGAGTGGGTGAGGGAGAAGGGTCTGGAAGTGGGCCCTCTGCTGGGTGTTTCTTTTGAGGACAGGGTGGATGAGGCGATGTGTTTGTTTAATGATGTTCTCAAATCTCATTTTCAGAAAAAGGAGGGTGAGAAGGTGGGGTTGCAGGAGGAGAAAGAGGAGACAGTGATGCAAAGTCCAAATGACCTTATCACGTATGAGAGGAGAAATCGGGGGTCCAGATCAGGAGGGAAAGGTGGAGGAAGGGAAGGAGGGTTGGTTATCCCAAGTGTTTCCCAATGAAGTTACAAATTCTTTCATGGAATGTTCGGGGTCTCAATGATCCAGTTAGGAGGAAAGTAGTGAAGTCGGTTATTCGTAAAGGTAGGGGCCATGTGGTGTGCCTCCAAGAGACTAAGCTTGCTTTGATGTCTGACAGGATTGTGAGGAGTCTTTGGGGTGGGAGATTTGTGGAGTGGATTACTTTGGATGCTGTTGGTTCCTTGGGGAGCATCTTAATTATGTGGGATAACAGATGGGTGTCTAAAGTGGATGCTCAGGTTGGGCGTTTCTCTGTTTCATGTGTTCTTGCTTTGGCTGAGGATGGGGTTCATTGGGTTTTTTCGGGTGTCTACGGTCCTTCGGAGGACGGTTTGCACCATTTACTTTGGGAGGAGTTGGGAGAGATTAGAAGTCGTTGGTGTTTGCCTTGGTGTATTGGTGGGGACTTTAATGCTGTTCGTTCTCCGATTGAGAGGTCAACGGGAGGTAGGTGGACCTCTGATATGGAGGCTTTCTCGGAGTTTATTGATGAGTTTGGATTGATTGATTTGCCTTTGGTTGGAGGGCCATTTACTTGGTCCAGTGTCCGATCTCCTCCTACCCTTTCTCGGATTGACAGATTCCTTGTGTCCGGGGAGTGGGAGGAGAGATTCTCTGATGTTGTTCAGGCTACATTGGCTCGTCCTTTCTCTGACTATGTTCCGTTGATGTTGGATTGTGGCGGATTGTGCAGTAGGCGCTCTCCTTTCAGATTCGAGAACATGTGGCTGCGGGCTGAGGGCTTTCTGGAGAGGGTCCGTCTCTGGTGGGAAAGGTTTGGTGTGGTTGGCACCCCTAGTCATGTGCTAGCAGGCAGATTGCGTCTTTTAAAGGATAATCTTAAGACTTGGAAGAAAGAGGTTTTTGGGAACCTTGAATGGAGGAAAAATCGGGTTCTTGCTGAAATAGCGGCTATTAATTAGATGGAGGGTCAAGGGGATTTGGTGGATTCTTTGAAGGCTAGGAGGGCGGAGTGCAAGGCAGAGTTTTCTGAGATTGCTGTCTTGGAGGAGATCTCGTGGAGGCAAAAATCTCGAGCTTTGTGGCTTAAGGAGGGGGATCGAAACACTAAATTTTTCCACAGATTGGCTAATGCTCATAGAAGAGGCAATCATATAGGGAGGATTCGAGTCGAAGGGGTCATTTTTTGTAAAGAGGAGGAGATTCGCAAAGGATTCTCAGAATTTTTTGAGAATTTGTTCAACGAGTCTGTTGAGTGGAGACCTTTGCTCGAAGGGTTGCAGTTTGACTCCATTTCTGAGGAGGAGTGTTTGGGCTTGGAGTTGCCTTTTTCTAATGAGGAAGTTCTGTTTGCTTTGAAGAGTTGCAATGGGGATAAGGCCCTAGGTCCAGATGGTTTTACTATGAGATTTCTTCTTGAATGTTGGGAAGTGGTTAAAGGAGAGGTGATGGGCACTTTCCATGCTTTCCATTCTCGGGAATCTTTTGAGAAAAGCTTGAATGCCACGTTCATTGCTCTCATTCCAAAAAAGGGAGGTGCTTTGGATGTTAGAGATTTTCGCCCTATTAGCCTGGTGGGCTGCATCTACAAGCTGATTGTCAAGGTGCTTGCTTCAAGGTTGAGGAGAGTGTTGGATGGCATCATTTCGGACTCTCAAAACGCTTTTGTAGGAGGCCGTCAAATTTTGGATTCAGTCCTTATTGTGAGTGAGTGTGTGGACTCCAGATTGCGTAGTGGAACCCCGGGTGTTCTTTCTAAGTTGGACATTGAGAAGGCGTATGACCATGTAAGTTGGAGCTTTCTTTTGTACCTGATGGGGAGGATGGGGTTCGGCGATAGATGGAGGAGATGGATTCATTTTTGTATTTCCAGTGCTTGCTTTTCGATCCTTGTTAATGGTGCTCCTACTGGTTTTTTCTCTAGTTCAAGGGGCTTAAGACAGGGAGATCCCCTTTCCCCCTTCTTGTTCTTGTTTGTGATAGAGGCCCTTAGTAGATTGATGAGAAGGGCTACCGAGTTGGGTCTTTTGAGAGGCTTTCGGGTGGGCAGGGAGGCAGATTCTCAGTTGGAAATCTCTCATTTGATGTTTGCTGATGACACTTTAGTTCTTTGTGATGCGAACGTTTCTCAGATTAGATATTTGAGATGTGTTTTGATTTGGTTCCAAGTTGTTTCCGGCCTTAAAGTGAATGTGGGAAAAAGTGTTTTGGTGCCGGTTGGGGAGGTCCCTGAGATTGAGACTTTTGCTGATATTCTGGGTTGTCGTACTGGTTCATTTCCCATTTCTTACTTAGGATTGCCTCTGGGAGCTCCTTCGAGGTGTGTGGGGATTTGGGATCCAGTGGTGGACAGATTTGAGAGAAGGTTGGCGGGTTGGAAGAAGCAGTATCTCTCCAAGGGCGGTAGGGTCACGCTGATTAAGAGCACCCTCTCTTGTCTTCCCACGTATTTTATCTCTCTTTTCCAGATTCCCTCTTCAGTTGCGGAAAGGATAGAGAGGTTGCAGCGTAATTTTCTGTGGGGGGGTGGAGGTGAAGAGTTTAAGTTTCATTTGGTGAGATGGGACCAAGTTTGCAGGCTAATTCGCAATGGTGGGTTAGGTCTCCGTAAATTGGTGCCCTTTAATAAGGCCCTCCTTGGGAAATGGTTGTGGAGGTTCGGGGTGGAGAGACATCGGCTTTGGAGGAGGGTTGTGGTATGTCGTTTTGGGGAAATGAGAGGAGGGTGGAGTTATTTGGCAGTTAGAGATCCTCGGGGGGTGGGGGTTTGGAAATTTATTCGGAAGGGTTGGGATGATTTTTCCAAGCACATTCGGTTTCGTCTCAGAGATGGGAGGAGGATTCGCTTCTGGGAGGATGTGTGGTGTGGAGATGTGCCTCTTGCCCTCGCCTTTCCTCAGCTTTACAGGATTGCTATGGATAAGCAGGCCATGGTGGTTAACTGTTATCATCTTGATAATGGGAGACTGGTTTGGGATGTTCGATTCAGGCGTTCCTTTCAGGATTGGGAGATCGAGGAGGTTATTTGTTTCTTGGAGTTGTTATATCGCCAGAGGATTGTGGAGGAGGATTCGGACTGTTGGTCTTGGATTGCAAACTCTCAGGGGCGCTTTGAGGTGAGGTCTTTCTTCAAGTGCCTCTCTTTTGTTCTTGGAGTTAGTTTCCCTTGGAAGTCTGTTTGGCGATTCAAGGCTCCTTTTAAGGTGGCTTTCTTTGTGTGGACTTCGGTCCTGGGTAGGATTTTAACCCAGGATAATCTGAGAAGGAGAAGCCAGGTGGTGGTCAACCGTTGCTCTATGTGTCTTAGTGATGAGGAGTCTGTGAATCACCTTCTTATTCATTGCCCTTTGGCTAGAGAGTGTTGGGGTTTGATGCTTGGCTTATTTGGTGTTTCTTGGGTTATGCCTGGATCTGCTAGAGGGTTGATTGAGGCGTGGAGAGGTTGCCCTGTGGGGGCTCTCAGTCAAGACGCATGGAGGGCTACGCCGCTTTGTGTGTGGTGGTGTTTATGGCTTGAAAGGAATAGGAGATTCTTTGAAGGAAAGGCTTTGTCGATTTCGGTGCTTAAATTCTCTATTATTTCTACTCTTTTTTGTTGGGTTTCAGGAAGAGATCATTGTTCTTTGGAGGAAGTAGTTGATTTTTTAGCCTCTTTGAAGGCTTGAGGCCTTTGTGGTCTTTTGTATTTGCTTGGGTTTCGCTCCCCTTCTGAGCGTTTTTTAATAAAATTTTTACTTATCAAAAAAAAAAAAAAAAAAACTTGCCAAACGCAACCAAGAACATATACCAAACATCCCTCGCCATTGGACAGTAGAGAAGGAGATGGTTCTCTGTCGTCTTGTTGTGAGGTTGTCGAGAGTGAGAATGCTTCCGAGAGCAACAGACCAAGCAAAAAAAGCCACTTTCAAGGGGTTTTTGTCTTCAAATTGCCTTCCAAGGAAAGGTTGGGCCTGGGGCCTCTGCCAGGCTCTGGTAGAAGAACCTAACCTCAACCAATGTGGGCTTCTTATATGCAAGCAAAACTTCGCCGAGTTTGGGCCTGTTAAGACTCAGCTCAGTAACCAAATGAGCTTCAAATTGAGGCTCAGGCTTGGTTAATTAACCGAATGAGCTTAATTTATTTGCATCCCTGGTTCTTCTGAAGAGATTAAGAAGATTTAATGTTTCTGATTGTTTCCAATTGTGTGTGTGTTTAAAAGCATGGCTATTTGGTTCTTCCCTACCTACATATTCATCCGAGAGAACCTACTATTATGTTTAAATTATCTTATTTTGTGGAGTTTTTAAGTGACTATTAATGTGGTATATCCAGGTTGTTGAAGCAGCCTTAAATTCAAGAATACAGAGACTGGAGCAGACATTAATGGATTTAGAACCACGTGTGAGTATGGAAACATAGTGAGTATATTCTTTATTTTTATATATTTATTTTTTTCCGTTTTCTTTTGCTAGATTTTTATCAAGATCACATTTAGTACGGTTTTGGTACTAAATCTGAAGATAAGGGTGGTTGGCACCTTGGCATTATTTTATCTGTTGCTGCTGGTGCCGATGTGTATTTTCTTTGTAATAATATTCAAAGATAAAATGTTGGAAAGGGCTTTGCAAATGTAATCACTTTCTATATTTGTTTTACGGGGCTATAACTTCTTGAAACAATACAATAATGATGCAGCTCTCCCTCCCCCTCTCTCTAATGGTCTTCCGATGAAAAGACCAACCTTACTAATGGATGATGTCAGGAAAAAATCATGAGCAACATTCAGATTTTCTGATTTTAGACGCATTAACACAGGGATTCATACACATACACCTGTGCTTCTGTTGATTTAAAATGATACAACACTACACACGTTGAATTTTTGATTTTACTATTATAATATCTCGCGTGTTCATTGGTTACGACTAGTGTTCTGCCGTTTTCTTCAGGTTCAATCTTTACTTGAGGTTTTACCAAACCGTTTAACAGCTGTCATATTGGAGCAACTTCGCATTAGCAAGCAGAACTTGGTTAGTTTAATTATGATTATGTTATGAGCTCTCAAGTTGCATAAATTGATGGCATTGAGAAAAAGTTGGTCATTAACTTTTTGTGTCAAAGGTTGAATTGGGTTCAAGGGCAGGGGCTCTTAAACAAATGTTGCTTGATATTCTAGAGGACCCTCATGAAATACGTCGTATCTGTATCATGGGAAGAAATTGCACACTTAGAAAAGGAAATGATGAAATGGAATGCTCTGTTCCTCTAGAAAAACAGATTGCCGAGGGTAAGTCATTTACAGGTTTCTTCACTTTTGCTAATAACGATTTGCATTCAGGAAGAGTGCAGATGCTTATTCATTGTATAGTGGATTACAATTGAGTTTTTACTAATTTATTTGCAGAAGAGGAGGAAGAAATCGAAATGCTTTTGGAAAATTATCTTCAAAGGTTATTTCTTTTGCTTTAAGATCATCTCTGATATAGGATGGTATATTGATGCAATAATTTGTTATTCTTTATGAACTTAGCATGGTAACATGGATTTTTTTTCTTCTTTCAACTTCATTTTTCTTTTGCTAAATCCTGTATCATATATCCGAAGTATACAAAAATATGTAAATTAAAAAATATACGAAAATTTTATTTGCTTTGTAGTCCAGTGACAGAGATTCGAAAAATTATATTTCAGCAATAGAAGAGAAGCCTGCAAGTTGTCTTTCTATCGTTGATACATTCTTTATGTGTCTCAAGTATTGTAGTTCTAATTGTTTTTTCTCTTATTATTATTATTATTATTTAAAAAATTATTATCTTGCTTTTGAACTTGTGGATGATAGTACACGACCTTGGTACTATTGGGACTAATGAACCTCTGAACTGAGTCACAGTTCCTTGCGCAGTACATTGTTAAAGAGCGGGCTAGATCTACTAATTTGTTAACTTTGAACTAAGCTATTGTGTTAACATTTCAAAAACAAAAATTAGGTAAATAAAAAAGAAACTTCTCATCATGAACTCTGTGTTTGTTGATATTGAGTTTATGAGAACTGTATCTTAACAGTTTAAACTTTTGGGGTAATACGTTCTCTAAGATCATATCAAAGCTTTTCCTCAAAGAGTTCTTGGGTTTTAGTCTATCCATTCATTTGGCACCATATTTTGCTAGTCTACCTCTAGTTTAATTGTCTATCTCTCCACGTGTGAGAGTTGAAATATATAGAAAGTTGAAGAGAGAAATTAAGCATGAAGACCACAAGGATAGACACACAAATCCCAAAGGGGTACATCACTTTTATTATATTCTCTCTTAAGATTGCTTACAATGAGCACCTCTATTTATAGGTGAAAGAACAACGTGATAAATATGGAAAATACATTAATAGAGGATTCATAAAATCAATCCCATAAATCACTCCAATCATATTCTATCATGGACTAAAATCACTCCTACAATATTCTCAGAGCAATATTCTATGGAGTAATTTAAGGTTCCTATAATGCCCCCCCCCCCCCCCCCCTTCAAGTTGGTACACGGAGATTTTAACTCAAGTGTCCAACTTGAAACTAAATACGTTGTTGAGAGTCCGAGACAAGTTGATCCGTAGATCCGAGACGAGTTGAGTATAAAGTAGGGTATGATAAACCTGCTTTGATAGCATGTTGAAATATATAAAAAGTTGAAGAGAAAAATTAAACATGAAGACCACAAGGATAGACACACAAAGCCCAAAGGGCTACATCAATTTTATTATATTCTCTTAAAGATTTTTTGCAATGAGCACCTCTATTTATAGGTGAAAGAACAAAGTGATAAATATGGAAAATACATTAATGGAGGATTCATAAAATCAATCCCATAAATCACTCCAATCATATTCTATCACAGACTAAAATCACTCCTACAATATTCTGTGGAGTAATTTAAGGTTCCTATAATAATATTCTCCAACAACTTGGAACTAAGCTATTGTGTTAACATTTCAAAAACAAAAGTTAGGTAAATAAAAAAAAAACTTCTCATCATGAACTCTGTGTTTGTTGATATTGCGTTTATAAGAATTGTATCTTAATAGTTTAAACTTTTGGGGTTATACATTCTCTAAGATGATATCATAGCTTTTCCTCAAAGGGTTCTTGGGTTTTAGTATGTCCATTCTTTTGGGACCATATTTTGCTAGTCTACCTCTAGTTTAATTGTCTCTCTCTCCACGTGTGAGAGTGGGCCAAAATTGATGAAGGGCAAAATAACTTGATATATATTATTGAGTTGATTCTTTAACAAGTTTGACCAAGGCCATGGCTTTAGATAGAGCGGAATGGAAACATAGGATTCATGTAGCCTGGCCCCAAATAGTTGGAGAAGGCTTTGGTTGTTGATGTTGTTTCCTTAACAAGTCGAGCTTTTGGGAAAATTTGTTTTCTTACATGGCTGGTATACTGTGATTTGAAATGCATATATATTGTTTCATTTCATTTTTTTTTTCCTCCTAAATTCATATACGTTGGTTTATCAGGTAAGATATTTATTTAAAGTTGAAGGCTTTAAAGCTTGGTTTGTTGGACAACCTCATTACAACTATTCAAGCTGATACATTCAATATATTCTGCATACATCTAGCCCTCCCCAGACCTTGCAATGGTAGGAGTCTTGTGCACTAGCCTTTTATGGTTAATTATTGAGTTCAAGTGATAGAATGAAAACTGCAAGAAACAGATATGAAATATTTTAGTGGTTCTAATCAGCAAGGTATCATTGAAATATCAATGTATTGACAAAAAAATTGGTTTATGCGATATATGGAATTTATATCAAAGTTTTACGGTATCTAAATAATATGACAATATCTTTAAAAAAAAAATTGGTAACTAAAGAATGATAATAAAAGTGACCTTCCCACATATTATGCTCCTTTTGGCCTTTTGGAATCTTTGAGAGTTTAGAGGCCCTATTTGGCCTTTTGTATTTTCTGAGGGATGTGTTCCCCTTGTGAATGCCTTTAATACATCTAAACTTATAACAAAAAAAAAAAAAAAAAAAAATGCTCCTTGGCAGCAAGCCTTGCACACATGCACAAAAAAGTAGAGAGAGAATGGTGGGTTTACATGCCACTCATTCTAATTCATTGATTCTTAGTAAAGCTTGCTGCCAGAAAAAAAAAATGGACATATTTCCTTATAGGGAATAAATCACGTACCAACATATATAAATAAAACTAGAATACAATTGATATCTATATACCATTCCATTTACTTTTATACAATAAATAGTGAGATAAATCAAATTTCTATCATTAAGATTAATTTGAATATTTGAATGATTTAAGAAAAATGAAAAAGGAAAAAGATAAGAAAAAGGGAAAAGAAACAGAGAAATTGTATGTATATGTTGAGAGAGACATGCTAGATTCAAAATCGTCCTTATATATTTTCAGTACTTGTCTATGCATTTTATTCGATGTGTTTTTGGTCTAATCATCCGTTACCTTTAAAAATAATTTTATAGAATTTAATAAAAATTTCCATACTTTATTATTAATGTCTGTCATTCTTTGAAAGGAAAAAGAAAAAAGAAGGGGGGGGGGGGGGGGGGGGTGTTTGTGGTTAATATCCATATTATTTGCAATACAGCGCTAGACATATCCACTTTTTAGGACATGCTCTATCGTTTTGAAGTAACCAGCCTATTCTAAATTGTATCTCTTGGAAAAGGCTTGTATATGTTGGTCATGAAGCCATTCAAATTGAACCAGTTTAAGACTACAATCTATCTATATTTCAAGTTTGGTTTAGCTAAATAAAACAGGTAAATCGTTGAAGTTTCTTCTATTTGGTTGGGGAATTTCTTGCATCTTATCTATTAGAGAAACTTTAATACGATGTTACGAAATATTGTAGCAATGTTATCGATTGTCATGTTTAGTCTCATTATCATCTTAACACCTACAGATGTGAATCTTGTCATGGTCAAGCAGAAAGACTTCTTGACTCTGCAAAAGAAATGGAAGATTCAATAGCTGTCAACTTAAGGTATGTACAATGTCTTAATTTTTTGTGATCTATTTGTTAGTCTTACAAAATCAATGTGATATTGGATTTTAGCTATATTTGTTACATTTGCAGCCAAAATTTTGTCTAACCAACATAAGAACTTTTTTGAAAAAACACGAGGTGTGAGAAAAAAGAGAACCTCAAACAGTTATTTAATTTGGTCCTAGAAAACTATGAATCTTTTTCTTGTTTCCTGGACTAGGATATGCCATTGATTGGATGACCTCTTTACTTTTGTGTTACTATTCTATCTCAAAGCTGGATTTGACTATACACATGAGCACCAGCCTGGCCTGCTATAGTAGTTTTTTTATATTTTTTATTTCTGATTAATAAATATTAGTTAAACATATTGTTTTTCTAATAATCTGTTACAAGCATATTGGTGTGAAATACTTCAGAACTTTGCTTTATAGAGCATTTATAAGCTAAGCCGAATATCTAGTGTTTACTTGTAGCATATAAAAGCCTGTACAACATAAGCGAACCATCATAGCCATCAAACTATCCTATGGCCATCTTATGTCACAGGTCTAGAGTTTCATCCTAACCCGAGCGACACCCATGTGTTGTGTACTTCATGACAGCCGTCAGCTTTGGCCATGCCAATGCTTACCTGCTGGTGCATCTCCTCTAGTAGTATAGTAGCCATCTCCTTCACTCGCATTGGGCTTCACTAACTCTCTCACACTTAGCACACGTGCTTGGCAAGAAAAAGTACATATATTATTATTATTATTATTATTAGTCATTAATATAAAGGATGCTCGAGCCACAACCCATTTAATAGACGGTCTAGATTTAAACAAACCAATGGATGAAATTGGATGCCCAGAACATTCCCACCTCCTTTAGGAAGTTTATTGAATTCCCTGAAAAATATCCTAGGTATTTACACAAATCTACGAGACTAACAATCTAGAATAATTTACCCTATTATTCTAGACTCCATAAGGCTATTACATTCCTAAACATTTGACATAAATTTAGACAAATTTAGACCAAACTAGAAGACTTTAGACACAACTAATAACATCATGACATGGTGTCATGCAGCTTTTTCAATAAGCTTTTGTGTCATAACCTCTCTTGATGTTGACAGGGTGTGACACCTAGTTGTAGCCATGTTAGCAATGTTAAGTAAAGAATTCAAGATTTCTATTCCAATTGCATGAAGTCTTTTTTTTTTTTTTTTTTCCTTATTTTATTTTATTCAAAGAAGCAGCAAACGTTTTTGTTGGTACTTTGCAAACACTATTTCTTCTGTTCTCAGTTCTCGGAGGCTTGAGGTTAGCAGAGTGGAATTGCTGCTTCAGGTTGGCACGTTTTGTGTCGCACTGGGTGCTTTGGTTGCAGGTAATTCCTTAATAAAACACAATAGATCTCTACTAATTATTTATTGTTGAAAGATATAAAAACTGAAGAGAAAAATTAAAAATGAAGAACACAGGGATATAACGTGAATCGGCCACTATGGCCTACATCATGGCACACAAAGCCCAAAGGACTACATCACTTTCATTATATTCTCTCTTAATATTGTTTACAATGAGCACTTCTATTTATAGGTAAAAGAATACAAGTGATAAATATGGAAAATACATTGATGGAGGATTCCTAAAATCAATCCCATAAATTACTCCAATCAATATTCTATCATAGGCTAAAATCACTCCTATGATATTCTCCCAACATTTATAGTTCTAGCTTTGTTGGATGACTGGATGTTATTTGTTGCATAGAGTTTGTCATTTGCTCATTTTATTAGTGACTTGTCATTTCTATGAACCACTTAGTTTCTATATAAAGGCAGGTGTCAACCTTAGGACTATGTCACTAGAGATGAAGATGGCCTTGGGTTACCTGCTGTTCATCTTGCTCTACATGTAAAGAGGCTTCAGCTCACCATATGAGCTTATATAGAAATCTAGACTTGATGCTAAAGGCCTAGCAAATTTGAGTCAGGCTTTATATTGGAAACATGAGTCACATTCAAATCATATGATGTGACTTACCATATTAGCCGATATACAATAGCCACAAATCATGGGATACTTTATTTATAAATTTGTCTAGGCATAGAATAAACAATGTTTTTATTCAGCTTCTTTTCTTGTAATATGATCATGTGCTCTTTTTAGTATATAAATACTATAGCCTCATTCAAGCCTTTACATATTATTAATCTCATTCAAGCCTTTACACTTCTATTCCTTCTACCTTGTATTTCTTCATGGTATCAAAGCCAGGTTGGTCCGTTTGCAACAAGGGCGTTGCGAGTTCGGCCCCAACCATTCAGAATGGTCTGAGGAGACATTGTTGATGGTTTGTGGTATGAGGAGATATTGGTGATTTTTTCATCTACATATTTTTTAGACGTGTATGAAGGGGAATGGGCTGAAGAGACATTGTTCATTATTTATTGTCTGAGCAGACATTGTTGATTCATTCATCTACATATTTTAACCATGTGTATGAAGGGAAATGGACTGAGGAGACAATAATGGTTTTTTATGGTATGAGAAGACATGATTGGTTGCTTATGGTTTGAGGAGATATTATTAATGGTTTATGGTCTCATGAGACAGTCAGATAAGACGTATCCACGGTGGTTTAGAGAAAACGTTATAGTTATGTCTTGGCTAGTCAATTTAATGCAGCCAAACATAGTCGTTGGCTATATATTTATAAAAACTATGCTTGAGGATACATTGTCTAAATTGGGAGTTGTGGTTTGCATCATGTTTGAGGATGCATTGAAAACTATGCTTGAGGATACATTGTCTAAATTGGGAGTTGTGGTTTGCATCATGTTTGAGGATGCATTGTAATGGCCTTGGGGGGGGGGGGGTTGGGGTTGGGATGAATAGGTCAACTTGCCCAATTTTCGTGATTAATTAATTGCCACAATGATTACCATATTCACATCCACAATCACAAAAATGACACCGGGTTTTTGAGTATGGAAACCCTTGTTGAAAGAAATCCAACCAACCGGGACAAAAACTATTGACTGTAATATATAATCAAATCAAGAGTAAGTGATAAAGAAGAAGAAGAAAAAGAGAGAGAGACGGGGAAAGAGAGAAAAAATGAAAGAATTCTTTCATCCTTCCACCACATTCTATTTATAATAACAAGTTTCAAAAATTACACATAAGCCCCAACATTATATAAGTACTAACAGATAAGCCCCTGAAAACACTCCCTCTCAAGCTGGAGTACACACCGCCTGTAAGCGCGAGTCATCAGACCATTCTTGAATGGGTGGTGCCAAACTTGCAATGCACTCATTGCAGTTGGACCACCCTAGCTTTGATACCAAGAAGAAATATAATATAGAAGAAAGAGCAGAGAAATATGTAAAAGGTTTGAATGAGATGTGTTAAACACTCATTCACAACTCTCATATTTATATACTAAAAGGAACACATGTTAATGTTACAATAGAGGAAACTAAATAAAATCATTGCATATTCTATGCCTAGACATATGCGTAAATAAAGTCAAATCCATGATTTGTGGCTATCATATCTCAAATAATATGGTAAGTCACATCCCATGATTTGGGCCTATCATATCTCGGCTAATAGCATCATAGGATACAAACTGAGATATGGGATGTTTTGTACAACTACGAACACCCTTACGAGCAATAGGGACATCAAGATCAACATGTATTCTATTGGGAAAAAAATCAAGAGTATCAATGTCAACTAAGGAATTACCTAGATCGAGGGAGACTTCCTGGTTCTGGGGTGAGTCAATAACTTGTTTTGCCCTCCTAGTGTAGACAATTGGCTGCTTTCCCTGTTGCAAATCATTAGTGTTAGGAGGACTAGACATAGGCACCTCAGTAAGAAGCTCCCCCTGAATGGGACAAGCAAAGGAGGGGGTATTCCCTCAAAATGGACAACGAATTCTCTACCTGTATAGTAGTGTCCCCCTATAGAGAATCTCGAGTAGTGGAAAAAAAAGGAACAGACTCAAAGAATGTAACATCCATGGAGACAAAGCGACGACGAGTGGTAGGGTTATAACACCGATACCCTTTCTGAGTGGCGGAGTATCCAAGAAAGACACATCGGATTGCCTTAGGGTCTATTTTGTCCTTGCGATGATGAAGGTGAACACAAACACTTTCGGAGGGATAGTAAACAAGGCAGTGTCATGGTATAAGACAGAGAAGGGGGATTGATAACCAAGAACCTTAGAAGGCATGCGATTGATAAGGTATGTAGCTGTTAAGGTTGCATTAGCCCAATAACTTTTAGGCACTCCCATCCTAATTAGTAGAGAACAGGTTACCTCCGTAATTTTCAGTTACACCGTTTTGTTGTGGTGTATCGACACAAGAGGTTTGATGGACAATCCCGTTATCAGCAAAAAAGGAGGTAAGACCACCAACATAAACTCTCCTCCATTATCAGATCGAAGGATTTTGAGGGGACAACCAAACTGAGTACATACCATCCTATGAAAGGTTTTAATAATGGAATGAACTTCATCTTTCGTTTTCATAAGATAAAGCCAAGTATATCGACTAACACAAAAAAGTAACGAAAACCAAGTAACGAAGTAGTAGATTCAGGACCCCATACATCAGAATGAACAAGTTGCAAAGGAGTTGTACTTTTATTAATACTAGTAGGATAAGAAAAACGACATTGTTTGGCAACTAAAAAAAAAAAGAAACACGACATTGTTTGGCAAGAACGCATGTTTCACAATTTAACTCAAAAGATCCAACAGAAGCAAACTAGGGAAGCACATGCTTCAAAACAGGAAGAGGTAAATGACCTAGTCTATTATGCCATGGCATTAACAGATCTTTATTGACATTACTATTCCTAACACTAGATTGATTTGCAACATAATAAGAAGTTGGCCTCGCGTTCAACAAATACAAGCTATTGTCCTAATGTCCACTTCCAATCGTCTTCCCGGTGGCCAAGTCCTGAAACACAGTGAGATGGAAAAAAGGTTGCACTACAATTCAAGCCTTTTGTAATGTGACTGACAAAAAGAAGATTATTGGTAAACTTTGCAACATGAAGAACAGAGGATAAGCTAAGATTAGGAGAGGTAGAAACAGTGCCCTTCCCTGCAATGGAGGTGAAGGTGCCATCAGCCACTCTAACCTTATTCTTACTAGAACATAAACCGTATGAAGAAAAATTAAATGCCATACCAGTCATGTGATCAGTGGCTCCTGAATCAATGATCCACGGTGCCCCACCAGATAATGTGGAAACTTGATGTGCCGAATGAGAGGTTTCCGTTTGAACAAAGTTAGAGGTGGAAATGGAGGAATGTTGTGCTAGTAGATGTCAAAGAGCACCAAGTTCAGCCCCGGATAAAGAACTCGGTGGCCTTGAGGAGGCATGACCAGTAGAAGTAATCTTACGCTCTGTAGTATGTGCCGTAGATAACCCCCTAAATGGACCAGGCCTTGGCCTAGCAGGAGCAGGAGCTGGAGTAGGGTGACCGTGTAGATTCCAGCATGTTTCCCTAGTGTGGCGCGTATGCCCACAGTGATAACACCTCAACTTACTCTTGTCATCCTGTTTCCCTCTTTTTGGAAGATTGGGCTTGTTCCATTGTTATGTGGCAAGAGTAGATGGTACTTCTGGCTCAGGCTTAGTGTATACAGGTGCAGACATAGCCTTCATTCTACTCTCCTCGGCCTGGATATACGAAAACACATCTCTAACTAGGGGTGCAACTTGGGTTGGGAAACCCGAACCCAACCCGAGTTCAGCCCGATTTTTCACTGACTTGAGCAATCATTTTTACAATTAGGGTTGAATTTAGGTTGAAAAATCTCAACCCGAATTGAATTAGGGTTGGGCCTGGGTTGAAATGCTAGCAATTCGAGCCAACCCGAACCCGACCCGAATTATAATATTATTTTCATATATATTTTTACTTTAAATACATTATATATATTATTTAAACTATAATTACCTTTTTTCTTTTCGACTTATTTTGTTAAATCTTAACTTATTGTTTGTAATTTATTAAAAATTTACAAAAAGTCTTTGAGCTTTTTCTTGTTTAAGAGTAATTTAATCTAAAACTAATTCAAGATCGTATTAAATTTTCGATGTGAAGATTAGGTATATGAGTAACCCGAATTAACCTGAAATTTTTACACGAAATCTAAGCCCGAGTTGCAAGCCCGAATTTAAAAGAAAAAGGATGGGTTGGGCTCGGGTTGAAAAGTTAGGGTTGAGGATAAGGTTAGGGTTGGACTTGAGTTTAGCATTTCATATAATGGGTTAGGCTCCAGTTAGACCTCAAACCCGTCCAATCCGCCCGAGTTGTAGCCCTATCTCTAACAGAAGTAGGGGCTGAATATCTGCCTCACACTTGTACCCTGGCATGCTCTTATCTCGGATGCAGGCAATCCAAGAACTCATAGATTCGATTCCTTTCTACTATAGCATAAAATGCTTTAACATCAGCTGCACACACAGGTATGTAGTCTTGGTAGTGATCTAACTCTTCCCATTTACCCCGTAGAGTGTGGTAATAAGAAGTAAGAGTTTGGTCTTCTTGATTGAATCTTGAAATATGTTGTTGGAGTTCATACAGTTTTGCAAAATTACCAACCAAAGAATACGTCTCTTCCACAGCCGTCCATAGCTCTTTAGCTGTTTTTACAAATAGAAACCCTTTGCTGATTTGTGGTTGCATTGACTGCAACAACCACGTCATAACTAGTGCATTATTTGCACTTCACTCTTTGAATTTAGGATCACTATTGGAGGGATACGTGACAGTCCCTTCGATATGGTCAATCATCCTATGACCAGTGATATGCATATGAGCAGATTGAGCTCACACCATATAGTTTGTCTCATCCAGCCTAACAGCCGTAATACAAAGGCCTGGATGGTGATCACTACTACCTCTTAATACTGGAGTTAAACTAGGAGGAGACCCAACTTCTTTTGAAGTCACCTCTAAGCCAGACATTTTATCAAGTAGTTTCTGGGTATACAATCCTCACAAACAAAATAGCAACAAAGTACGTAGAGAACCACCTCTCTAACACACAAACTTCAACTAGAAAGATTACCGTCTTCTGATATGCATAAAAAAGCGACGACACATTTACCACACAAACCTAGAAAGCAACAAAATAGAGTATACCAGAATTGCAAACGACGAAGAAAAAGCCACTCCGCTAACACAAAAAAAAAAAAAAAACCAATCGAGATTGCAATAGATAAAAAACAGGTCCAAATTTTTTTTTTCGAGGCCTCGCCACATTCTATTTATAAATGAAAGAATTCTTTCATCCTTCCACCACATTTTATTTATAATAAGAAGTTTCAGAAATTACACATAAGCCTTAAAATTATATAAGTACTAACAAATAAGGTCCTGACAACAAAAACCACACAGACTTTCGCCGTCTCGAGTGAAACGATTTATTAGTGTTGAAGCGAAGTACAATGGACTTTGACTCAGGCTCACACCCACTTCGCTTTACCAAGTAATGTCTCTCTGGTTTCGCAACACCCCCGTCCAAATGTACTAGATTTCAGGCTTACTCCTTGATCCTTGTAGAAGGGTTGCTAGTATGTCAACAAACACTCTTGAATGCTTTGACTCATTTAAAGTGTAATCAAAACCTCCTCTTCCTTCAAATCTGAATTTCTCTGTAATATGACGTTGAAGATTCCGTCTTGATCAGTATACGAACATCACCCTAAATTACTCTTGTTTTTAAGAGTGTGCTCTCAAAGATAAACAATCAAATTTCTCTAAAGGTTCAATGTTCATGTAAAAGATAAAAAGCTTGTTTTCCAATTGAAGTAATCAATCTTCTCTAGGGTTAGAGATAGATGATGTATTTATATGCTAAAGAGTCCATATAATGAGATTTGACTTTATTTACGCATATGTCTAGGCATAGAATAGAATATGTAATGATTTTGTTCAGCTTCCTTTCTTGTAATATTAACATGTGTTCTTTTTAGTATATAAATACCAGAGTGGTGAATCAGAGTTTCAGCCTTATTCAAGCCTTTACACTTCTATTCCTTCTATCTTGTATTTCTTTTCTAACTTTGCAGGGTATTGTAGATATTATGGTGAAGAGCATGTATATCTAATGTCTGAATACATGTTTTAAGCATGTATATGTAATGTCTGAATACATATTTTATACACGTGCTAAAAAGTGTGGATTAAATTACATTTGGGCTGTCTTGCTCGGCTTGGCAGGGTATACGATATGATATGGTATTTATGTATGATAGATAAAATGTTAGAAAGGAAAGATCAGATTACAACAAGAAAGTATACATGAGGCAAGAAATGTTATCATTACACTTTTTAGTAACTTTTTGAAGGAATCATCATTTTCCAAACTCACCATTGGATTTCATTTCATCATCATGCTTGTAGTGTATATCAAATATCACATTAATTAGCGAATGGGACTCATACAGTCTCTTGTCAAACTAAAGTTCTACTTTTAACTTCCTGTTTTTTTTGGAAAGAAACATGAGTCTATTAATTGGGTAGCTTCGATCAACTTGAAATTTGGTGTGCATGGCAATCATGGTATGTGGTGGAGAACAAGATGTGACTCTAATGCACGGACCACATCTGATTCACCTCTACTTTTGAAGAAGGATTAAATATTTATCTTTATTTCCTTTTGGGATTTCTAAAATTTAGGCTTATTCTTATTTTGGGGTTTAATTTCATAGTAGTGTTTGATTAGGTTTTATTCTAGTTGCCTATGTATATATGGTTGAGTACATTGAGTTGGGTAACCTTTTGATGATTTTCAAGGAAGTAAATTACAAAACAAATAAGATGCACTGAACAAATATGTATTTGACACAACAAAGACAAGAGCAAGAAGGAAAGTAACATATTGGAAGTACATTTTGCCATTTCTTGGAATTCCTAAATCCTAATTAAGTAGAAATTAGATTTCATCATATCCATGGGACAACTAATATAGTGCATAGAAAATCTCAGTGAGATATGAATGTTTTCATGCTTTAGCCCATGTCAAGAGCTTGTTATTTTGCTGACTACAGGTATATTTGGCATGAACTTGAAGTCCTATCTTGAAGAACGTGTGGTATTTCCTCTTGGATCTCTAGATACACAATGCACATTCTCTGTTCTTGTCTGGGTGATATTCACATGGTCATGTTATCACTATTTCTTTGTTTGGCTTTATGTAGTTCGCATTTTGGCTGACAACAGCAGGAATTATTTTCGGCGCAGTGGTGGCTTTTTTTCTTATGTACTCATACCTCAGGGTTAGGAAGATATTATAAGCTTCAGAGTGATTCAAGTGTAAGTGACATCTATCCTCTGGCCAAGAATTTGCTACTGCCTTTGTTAAGCATTTTAACTTAGTTATTCTTTCATCCAGTCATGTTGGTAGTAAGGAGACATGGACCTCGTAAATAAAATACAATAAAACAGGAAATGAAAAAGAGGTAGAGAAGTTAAGGTCCATTGGCAATTTATCTTAGTACTTAGTGGTTTAAGACTCCTTATTACTTAGCAAGAGCGTGAGTCAGATCAACCCAGATTTTTTTCATTAGCCCTCAAATAATCCTCTCTATTCTTTCTTGACACAACTTTTTATGCAGACAGATATGACTCTTGTACTTGCACAAGTATATTGGGTTACAATGTGAGTGTAACACTGATTTCAAAAGAGTGGAATTGCGGAAGTCATTTTGGAAGTGTTTGGAAGGCAATTATATTGCTGTTGACTTGGAAGACTTTTTGCTATTATAATGAAAAGATAAAAAAATAAATTGTGTAATTACTTTCCTCTCATTGAGTGCAGACACTTGTATTTATATTTATCAATTAGCGTTACAATAATGGAATAAAATAAATTAAAATCTCTAATTGATAGTGATCCACTAATCACGGGACCTGGAATTACGGAGACAAAATAAAACATGAATTTCAACACTCCCCCTTAAGCTGGAACAAAGATGTCAATCAGACCTAGCTTGCCAATTGAGGACTGAAGTAGAGATGGCCCCACTGACTTAGTAAACATATCGGCTGTTTAATCAGACAAATGAACAAACACTGGAACAATAGCACCAGACTGAACTTTTTCCCAAAAGAAGTGAATATCAACTTCAATGTGTTTAGACCTCTCACGGAGAACATAATCGGAACCAAGCATGATGGTAGACTTAAACAAAACAATTTAGAAGAATCTTCCACAGCGAAGCCCAAGAGATTGAAGCCATAGAAGTTCATACGTGCCCAGTGCCAGAGCACGATATTCAGCCTCAACGGATGACCTAGATACTACTGCTTGCTTCTTACTTTTCCATGATATAAATTGACTGCCATAGAAAGTACAAAATCCAGAACGCCTGTCTGTTTTAGATCCTGCATAATCTGCATCTGTAAAACATGACACTCCAGATTGACTACCCGATGCATAAAATAAGCCAAGGCCAGGACAAGTCTTGAGATATCTCAAGATATGGTAACATAATCGGAAACAAGCATGATAACAGACTTATTGTTTAGACCATCTGCAATTTCAATGTGTTTAGAGCTCTCATGGAGAACAGAATTGGAAGCAAAGCATGATAGCAGACTTATTATCACAAAACAATTTAGAAGAATCTTCCACAGCGAAGCCCAAGAGATTGAAACTATAGAAGTTCATACATGCCCAGTGCCATAGCACGATATTCAGCCTCAGCAGATGACCTAGACACTACTGCTTGCTTCTTACTTTTCCATGATATAAGATGACTGCCAGAGAAAGTACAAAATCCAGAAGTAGAACGCCTGTCTGTTTTAGATCTTGCATAATCTGCATCTGTAAAACATGACTCTCCAGATTGACTACCCGATGCATAAAATAAGCCAAGGCCAGGACAAGTCTTGAGATATCTCAAGATATGGTAAACTGCATCTAAATGTGACGAACACGGAGCATGCATAAATTGACTCACAACACTAACTGTAAAAGTCAAATCTGGCCTGGTATTCGTCAAGTAAATGAGACGACTAACCAAACGTTGATACATAGAGGGATCAGGAAGCAAGTCACCAGATTCATCAGAAAGTTTAATATTCGGATCCATAGGAGTAGAGGCAGGTCTATACCCCATCATTCCTGTTTCCCGAAGAAGATCCATAGCATACTTACGCTGAGATAAAGATATGCCATGACTTGACGGAGCAACCTCTATGCCAAGAAAATCAAGGGACCCAAATCTTTTATATCAAAGAACTGACCCAAATCCTTCTTAACATGAGCAATTCCGGAGGGCATCATATCCAGTGATGATAACATCATCTATATATACTGAGATAATAATACATCTACCATTCATGTGTCTCCGAACAAAGCACGTATGATCACTGTGACACTGTGTAAAGTTCATTCCCATAACAACACTAAAACAACGAAACCAAGCTCTAGGAGATTGTTTTAGCCCATAAAGAGACTTCTGCAACCGACAAACCTTACCCAAATACTCCCCCTCAGCTCGAAACCCTGGTGGCGAATTCATATAGAAGGTCTCCTGTAAATTTCCATTAAGAAAAGCATTTTTGACGTCCAGTTGATGGATAGGCCAAGAATGAGAAGATGCCATTGACACTAGAAGGCGAACAATTGTTAACTTAGCAACTGGAGCAAAGGTAGCATTAAAGTCCTGCCCCGGAATCTGAGTAAATCCCTTAGCAACCACCTTGTACCGATCAATATATCCATCAACCAACTATTTCACTTACACCCCACTGTTTTAGCCCCAACAGGTAAAGAGACAAGTTCCCAAGTTTGATTTTTCTGAAGAGCATTCATTTCCACTTTCATTGCCTCAACCCATTCAGGATAACAAAGTGCCTATGAAACGGATCGAGGAATATCGAGCTTACCCAAAAAGGATTTATAAGAATCTGAAAGAGTATGATAAGACACATACTTGGAAATAGGATAATTAGTACTGCAGGAAAAACCATACCAAGCCCGTTTTCGAACACAGGATGAATATCGAGGAGGAAGTGCATCAGAGATAGGAGGGGAAGTCCCTGTATCCAAGGGAGTTTCATTGGATCCTGAGTGCGAGGGCGACGTGAATATACCTACAAAGGAGGAGGAGCCTGCTCAGTGGGAAGAGTAGGAGTAGAAGGCTCCTGCACATTATTCTGCTCAAAAAGAGGAAAGAGGTCGAGCCAGAGGAAAAGGCTCTGCAGTGGGAGCAACATATATAGACATGTTCCTGCACATGAGAAGAATGGCCAAAGAAGGGTCTCTCCTCACAAAAAGTGACATCCATAGAATGATAAAAATGTTTAGACACAGGATTATTGCATCGATATCCTTTAGACATAGAAGAATAACCCAGAAAGACACACTGAACAACTTTATCATCAAGTTTGGTACGCGTAGGACTACGATTTTGATCAAACCACGTACACCCAAATACTTGAGGGATAATGGAAAATAAAGTATTGTCGGGCTTAAGAATTTGAAGGGAGTACAATTGATCAGATAACAGGCAGTGAGAACAGCTATATGCCAGAAATATTTTGGTACATTCATTCCTCGTAGGAGGCACTGAACGACATCCATGATGTGACAATTTTTCATTAAGGTGAGAGCAAAAATCATTGGAAATGTATTTACGCCCATTATTTGATCGAATATTTTTGACAACCGTATTGAATTGGTTTTTTATTGACTGGAGGAATTGAGTAAACACATGAGGAATCTCAGACTTCTTTTTAAGCAAATATACCCATGTACACCGAGTATGATCATCAATAAAAATAACATGGTACCGATAACTAGACAATGTAGTAACGAGAGAAGGACCCCACACATCAGAATGTATTAAATCAAATGCAGCAGGAGCACGATGCATACGAGGAATATAACTGGATCTAGTATGTTTATAAAGCTCACAAACCACACAATGAAATTTGGAAGTCTTACAAGCTTTTATTGACTCAGGAAATAACCAACATAAGTACTGAAAACTTGTATGTCCTAAACCGGCATGCCACAATTGCAATGTTTTTAAAGAAAAAACAAAAGAAAGTGAATTAGGTAAAACAGATGCTTGAAGACTGAAAGAAGAAGGTGGTGAATCGCCAAAGTAGTATAGCCCGTCGCACTCATATACCCTGCAAAAAATCTTCCTTGAATCCAGGTCCTGTAACATGCAATGACCAGGAAAGAAAATTACTGCATAGTTAAGAGATTTTGCAAGAAGACTTACAGGTAAGAGGTTAAAGGTAAAACCGGGAACATGAAAAACAGATGATAAATTAATATCAGGAAACAAACGCACACTACCCTTGTGATGTATATAAGACTTGGACCCGTTTGCATGGAAAACAGATTGGTGAACAGGGGTAACATCAGAAAACACTGATAACTAACCAGTCATATGATCATTTGCGCCAAAGTCAAGAACACATGTAGGATTCCCTTTCTTAACGTGAAAAGAAGTGGGAGTTACCTATGGCAAGTGTAGTTGTGGAGGTGGTAGGAGAAGTCACACCAACACTGCAGGCCGTTGAACAAGAGTACTAAGCTGATCTTGAAGTTGGCCAATCTGAGATTGTAGTTGAGTGACATCTGGGAAGTTAATAACTGGCCCAGGGCTAGCATCAGCAATAGTAGTGGTGCGGGAGGGGGTGCGTGAAGGACCATTCCGATTTCTGAATTTTTTTTTTGCTTCAACTCAGGATGCAACTTGAATCAACGGGCTTTCATATGTCCGATTTCTCCACACTGATGGCGAACAACTTTACCGCCAATAGAACGGGACCCAGAATTAGCCACAAACGCCATTTGATCCCCTGCACTAGATGGATCAGAATAGGCTGAAGTAAGCGGCGTCGGTGCTCATCACTATCAATAGTCGCAAAAGCATCATACAAAGATGGTATGGGTGATGAATTCAAAATCTGAGTTCGAAGAGATTCGAATTCAGGTTTGAACCCCATCAAGAATTGGTAGGTATGTTGATGATCTAAACGCTTAACAACAATAGAGGCAAAGTCTGGTGGAAAATCACTTAGGGGTTCATACGGAGCCAACTCCTCCCAACGAGATTGTAAATACCCAAAATAATCTGCCATAGATAATCCCAAAAGTTCCTGGTTTGCCCGGGATTTCCCTGTACAACTCAAAGATTCAGGAATCATTGCGCGCATGCACATACATCTGAGTCAAAGCAGTCCAAAGATTGTGTACCGTGTCATAGTTCATGAACATATTGTAAAGTTGCTTCTCCATAGAATTAAATAGCCATCTTAGAATCGTGCAGTTGTCCATATCCCATGTAGCAAATTTAGGATCATCAACACCAGGTTTCTTTTCCTTTCCCAATATCCAACTCATCTTCCCTTTCGCTCCAAGATAAAGCCGAAAGAAGCAAGACCATGATGCAGAATTACATCCATTCAACAACACACTTGTAACCCGTCGAGCCGGAATATGTTGAGAAACAACTACCTCCTTACTTTTTTCACTAGTCACCCATCAAAAAAGAACTCAGAAAACTTTACAAATTTCTCCAACAAGAAAATCGCGAAGCTCACGAAGATGCTACTGAACACACCAGTAGCCCGAAATCATCAAAGAATGGTAGATCACCCCAGCACATCACAACTACTCACTGAAAAATACCCCGAAAGAGGGGTTCAAACACGAGAAAACACTCCCAAGAGATTCGAAGGTAGGCTAGACTCCCAAGTTAGGGAAGAGGGTGGAGGTGGGAGGTGGGTGGTGTCGGCCAGTGGTTTGAAGAGAGGAGTGTGTAAGGCTCTGATACCAAAATGATAAAAAAATAAATTGTGTAATTGCTTTCCTCTCATTGAGTGAAGACACTTGTATTTATATTTATCAATTAGGGTTACAATAAAGGAATAAAATAAAATAAATTAAAATATCTAATTAAATGTGATCCACTAATCACGGGACCGAAATTACGGTCACAAAATAAAACATGAATTTCAACGCAACGAATACATCTTTTTTGGATGGGCTGCGAATAGAATCATTTGGAAGGGCATTTAATACAAGTCTTGGTGGAAGTGTTAGCAAACTTATGTGATAAATTTAGAATTAAATATGAATGTAGAAGTTTGAAGGAAAAGGATAAAGAAAGGGAGAAATTATTTGGTGTTGGGTTTATAAACAAGGAAAGGAAAAGGGAAAGGAGAAGGGTGGGGCTTGTCAACCCCTCAAATATCAATTTCTAGTATTATTTCTTAGTCAACGAGTTCGGAAATAAATAGGAGATTGTTATTATTATTATTATTTGTTCATATTCTCTCTCCTTCTCACACAATAAAACATTCATTTTCTTTCATTTCTTGCATTTAATTACAGGTGATGCCAGAAATCTTGGATTATTCAACACCCAACACACAAGGGACCATAATATATTGTATTATAGCGTTTACTTTTGTTGTATGGTTGGACAAATGTAGATGTATAAACAGAGCTGTAGTTACTCCTACAAGATTGTAGCGAAGTACAGTGGGTGTTCATCATTTTTATACTTTGAATATTGCAAGGAGAAGAGAAGCACAATCCCCTTCAACGTCCTCATTGGGTTGCTACTGCTCCTCTGTATGCCATTCATGATTCATGAAGAGAAGGCTAGTGCCGGTTGGAATGGTTATTACTCTACAATTATAGGCATCAGTGACTATTTTGGAGAGAAAATACGTGGATGGTGGGATCACAAATAATTTGTAGTAATAGAATCACGTGTATCTCAAGTGTGTTCTAAACCATCCTACAAGTCGCGGGGTTTAGGGAAGTGTGTTTAACATTTAGTGATAAGAGGTGTCTCTGTCACTTAAAATTTTATCTTATTTTAATTCAATTGAATAAGCACTTAATATGTTCAGAATTAAGCACTGAATTGAGTTATTAAATAGCACCTAAGTCACATAAAGCGAGGGTCGGAGCGATTTCGAGAGCTGAAATGTGAAAGTGGCAAAATTTAAGTCACATAGAGTGAGAATGTGAATGAGGGCGCATGTGGAACGTGAGAATGGGAACCTTGGATTGTGTAAATACATATATTCAGTCTAAAGGAATGTAATTTAACCTGCTGTCCTTAGTAGAATGGGTTTAAATACATTTTAACATACTTTGGGCAAAGAAAATAATACGTAAGTTATATCATCGTGTTACTAATAATACAATGATCTCACTTACATAAAAAACAAATCAATTCAAAATATTATAAAATAAAATTAGATGGTCGACATTAATAGGGTAAAAAGAAGTGTCAAACTTTGACGTATGGAAATGAAATTTAGTACAAAATTTTGATTATATAATTCTCATACAATCCTCTTTCAAATGGTTAGATTTGGCCCTCAATATTTGTAAAAAAAACAAAGAAAATGCTAAGAAATTATTAAAAAAAAAATGATGAGGTTGACCTTACAGTAGCATTACTCTTTTTTTCTTTTCATTGTTGGTCATTATAATTTAAATTTTCAAATACAAAGTTATAGCAATCCGTGGCTTTGGCAGAATGTTCACAACTCAATTGGTGGGTTAGGCCATCATAGAATGGGCTATATTCTTTTTCCCTGAAACACCAGTATCGGTTGCCTGAGGTTGGGTGCTAGTAAATGGTGCTAATGACTAATATTTACCATTTAATAGTTTCATAGTTTCGAAAAAATAAAATTGACTAAAATGTTAACGTGGACATGAAAAAACACTGATTACCCTCACTGAGGTACCACTTTTTGTGCACTGATGTACCACTTTTTGTGCATCAGGTACCACTTTGTTTTGGACATAAATGTACCACTTTAATGACATAGGTACCACTTTTTGTGCATTAGGTACCAATTTTGTGTAGCAAAAAAATTTGGTACTTGATAACAAAAAGTGGTACCTGCATGCACAAAAAGCGATACCTATGCGCTTAAAAGTGGTACCTCAATGAGGGTAAACAGTGTTTTTTCATGTTTTCATTTTTTTGAAACTATGGGACTTTGATTCCATCAAATGGTAAATATGAGTCATTAGCACTATTTATACGTAATAATCCCTAATTTGTAGCTAATAAATAAATATTTTTTATTACCTATAAGTTATATTTTTCTTTTATTTCTTATGATAATTTTAAATTTTAACAACATTTTTGTTATTATTATTGTTAAACATTTACAAATTTTATCTTAAATTTATTCAAATTTGAATTATTTATTTACTTTTTTTTTTATAAAAAAATATGCATAACAGGGCACCCTGAACCCACCCCGAACTGATTTGCCCCGAACTGATTTGGAGCACCCCATTCGAGTTTGGGAAAAAATTTTAATTGGTGGGACGGGTTTGGGAAAGGGGTGTCCCGTCTTGAATCCGCCCTGTTGACATCCCTACTTAGGGTTATGTTTTAACATTGAGAGTTGGATGTTTTTGAATTAGAACAAGCTTATTTTTAGTCTCAGGAAAAACAAAACTAGTTGCACTTGGAACACAATCGGTTATGTTTTTCATAGGTGGAAAATACTTCTCATTAAAAATACAACCAGTTGTGGTCTAAAACAGAACCAATTGTGTCTGTTCGAACCAAAGAGGAAAGATATTTTATTGTCAAATTCAATTACCTTTTTATCACGTTTTAAAGGGAAGCATTTGTGCAAAATTGCTAACTTTACCAAGAGTTTCTAGATCTAACTTATATAAATATTAAATATGGGTGAAGTGCAGAAAACACCCCTGTAGTATGCTTACAGTGCATATCACACCCCACACGTGCAGAAAACACCACTAAAGTTTTAAATTTGTGCAAATAGATCCCTCTGAGACATTTAAAATAGAGTTTGTCTAAATTACCCTTACCGTTACAATTTACAAATAATTTTAAAATACATTATTTTGTGAAATGACGGAAGAGGACATAAAAAACCTAGTGATGTCGTTTGCCCATCATTATACTTCCCACTCCACCTTGCCCATTTGCATTAGTCTTTGATGGGCTGGAACTGAAGATCACCAGAGGTTCATCGGAACTGTTATATATTGGCGTTGTACATTTGTGCTCTCAATTTGGCTCGCTGAAAATTCTCAGGTGGTGGTGGTCTAAAATTGCTGCTCTCACCTGATGGTTTGGACTGAGGTCGCTAGATTGAGCTGAAGCTTTGCACATCGCCATAACTGATAAGACTTTGATGTACTCTTCATCAGCCCTGACTCACTTTATCATTAGGCCTAATGGATACAATCTTGATGACCTAGGGTTATAAAGAGGTGGTTGAAAGAAAGGATAAGGGTGAAGAATTGGGCTCTATCAAAGCTCCAGGCATCGTTCTTCTCTACCATCGTTTTCAATCCCTAGATTGGGTTGATTTTCTCTCCCTCAATCCACTCTTCTGTATTCTTTGCATTGTTTTGGCGATATTCCTAGATATGATTTCATTCTTAGTTTGACTCAAAAAGCAGGTACATACATTTGGTGACTCCGCTGGGGATATCCTAGCAAGAAGATGAATCTAGATGAGCCACACCTTCCACCAGCACAGATAAACGTATCTGCCATCGGAGTCACTAGCGCCAGATCTCATTCATCGGTAAAATTAAAGTACAGACTCGATGTAGGTTACATCTTACAAGCGATGTATAACATCAATGCCCAGCTGCTTACTCAAATGGAAAAATTCGAGGATGCCCTCCACGCATCCGGTAAAAGAATCCCAACTACACCGGCCACGGCAGAGCCGGAACTCGCTCCGGTCAACCAGTTGGCACTTACTTTTGGTGAGCTAGTTGGCATGAACTTACCCACATCGGGCGAGCAGACAACCATCATTCAGTCACCAATGAACTAGGTTTACAGCACAGATCTACTCTTACGGTTGATGCATGTTTTCAATGATAAAACCACTCGCAATAGAACGAATCCTTATAGGATAGGGCTATGTTGAGGGTGTCGAACCTCGAGGATTATGGTGGATTGTTAAGTATAAAATTAATCCTAATTTAATTTGAGAGAAGATGATTTTGTTGTTTTCTACTTCTAAATTGCAATAAAACTGAAAATAAACTAAATTAACAAGTATTGAGATCAAGGGAAGAAGAACTTAGGGATTAACTTTACCACTAGCCTCATAACATGGTTAATTGTCTAAACTATGGGAAATTCACACTATGCATATTCGGGAATCAAGTGGCTATAAGCACAAGAGTTTAGAGAACAAGCCTAGAGCTCTTCCAAGCCCTAAGATGGTGTTTAGCCACTCATGGAGGAGGTAGATGTGGTATTGGAATCCTCAAGGGCAATTCCCAAACATGGCTTTATCTTCTTTCTCTTGGTCTTCTTGGTAGAAATCCTCAAGATCTCGATGTTTTTGCCTCTTTTTTTCCTAAGAACCCTAATTCTAAAGAAAGAATTTCTAATGTCTAAAGTTGATCTCTATCTAAAATTAGCTAACCCCCAACAAATGGTTCATTTTGCTTTGCTAAACAAGTCAGAAATGAGATTCTTATTGGTTCAATCTCGCAGCCACTTGGTAGGTGAAGTTCGGGCGAAACCGGAATAAAACAGCTAACTGCTAGTAGAGTTGCGATTGATGTGGAATTTTGCAATCGATCGCGAACTTTTGTGATCGATTGTAGCTGACATGACAGTCTCATCTTGACAAGTGACAATCTTCTCTGTTGAGCTGGTGCTGACGTGGCACTGCGAACACTGCGATCGATCGTGACTTTGAATGAACGATGATGTGGTGGCCTTATCCAATGCTGACATGGCTGCGAACGATGATGTGGCCTACGATCGATCGTGAAGAATTTGCGATCGATCGTGGATGCTCCAGTGCAGTTTTTTGAACTTTTTTCGGATTTTCTACTTGACTCTAAAAAGGGCTTAATGGACTGTTTTTAGCCCGTTTGAACCTTATTGACCTGAAATAGACAAAAACAAGAATTAGAACTAAAACAGGAAAGTAAGATAGATGAAAGGACTAAAATACCCTAACTTAGGTGCTAAAATGTGCAACATTTGAGCACTTATCACTAGTCGAACGATTCAGATCAAACCCTCACTCGGGGTCCCTAATAAAAGAGAAACTCTATAAAGTCCTTTCATCCACTGACACACACAACTTCTATATGGAGATACGAAACTCACAAGCAACAAAGTCCTTGCCAGGACCGAATCAAGAAGAAGGGGAAAACAAATCCCTTTCCCGTAACGAAATTGAACATGCGCTTATCGATACCTTATATACGAGATGCCAAGGAAAAGGAACAATATGGAGGTGAAACAGCTCGATCTATAACTCATACACCTAGCGTCCATACGTAATATAAAATAGTGCCCCTTCTTGAAACGTTAAGGGGACATCGCGTCCCATCCTGCCCAAAGAAAATCTTTACAAGCGGTAATTTAGACCTTTCATTCATATAAACAACTACGTAACGTTGACCACCACATCAATAACCTTTAAAGTAACATGGCTAAAAACCCTTTTGTCATCAATCTACTAATAAAACTAACACATAAGAGCCCATCTACTCATAAAATATACATCATTATCCAATACAACTGTCTGGAATACACATAGTCACACAAATACGTTATTGCTTTAATACATAATGATCACAACCGGTACAACATTAGAACATGAAACACATACAAAACATCTCGAATTATATCTTGCCCCACGGGTTCACACACCAACTATCATCAGCATCACCCCAATCCAGAACCACACTAGCGGACATGTCCACCATCTTGGCATAGATGAAACAGATACTGCACAAAACTAGAACAATAGTGTACAGGTATCCGCCCAATCTCATAGGTATCCCCCGTTACAACCAGCACAATAGTGTACAGGAGTCTGCCCAATCTCACAGGTATCTCTCGTTACAAAACTCACAG